AATTTTACCATAAACGTATTTCTTGGTAAAGAATTGTTGCAAGCATCAATTTTGAATAAATTAGCTTCAATATTTAATGATTTATCGAAGATTTTGTATTTCTCTAAATTACCGTTATATGGGATGTGGGCGTGGCTATTGTCCGATTTTAAAAAGTTTCGGCGGTTTTTTATGCTGTACCAAGGCCAACAACTGTGCCAAGTTTGGAAGAAATGGGTGCAGCGGTTACCAAGATATACACATGTAACCATAAGTGGGCGTGGCTACGCCCATTTTCCAAAAATTTATAATATTCTTATTTTTCGTCTAAAAATTATTGTAAATATCAATTTTGAGTGAATTATCTTCAGTAGTTACTAAAATATCGCAGTTTTCGTATTTCTGGAAATTACCGTTATATGGGAAGTGGGCGTGGTTAAAGTCCGATTTCGCCCATTTTCAATACCAACCTACCTTGGATTAAGGGAAACCTACGTACCAAATTTCGTTGAGATATCTCAATTTTTGCTCGAGTTATCGTGTACACGGACGGACGGACAGACGGACAGACAGACATGGCTTAATCGATTTCTTTTTTCATCCTGATCATTTATGTATACATTTGTCTATATCTATCTCGATTCGTTTTGGCTGTTACAAACAACCGTTATGTGAACAAAATTAATATACCCTTGTGCACAAGTGCGCTCGGGTATAAAAACGCCAAACTGTCGGCTGTAATTTTTGGTTAAAACTACTTGTCGTGCTTATACTTGGGGTGCCGTATCCGAACGTCAAATGAAACCCAGGTCCTAAAGTTCTGAACACATTGAAAACGACGAGCTACGGGCCACAGCTTCCAATTTGTTATCTTCATTACCTAAACTTTTTGTCGATGACGACATGATTTTTTGGAACGCGGCAGCGACATCATAAATTTGTATGAGTTTGACATAAAAGAAGAGGAAGAACCTTATCTGTCGCCGGAAAAATAGAAATAGATCTTATCTGGCCACAATCACAGCCGTCGCGTAGCCCGGTTGTCGCCAAAATAATTATCTACATAAGAGTACGTGTTAAAATAATTTGACGGCTGTGGTCTGTAGCTCGTCGTTTTCATTGTGTTCGGGCTATAAGAGGTGACAGTTCGCTCCTCAAACTACTGAGCCACAGCAGCTTTTTTTAAATTTCAATCAAAAATTACCATCTCTGGTCATTTAAAATTATTGAATAGACATACTTGGACAAAATTGAAATAACCCTAATTTTGTTGGAGACTACATAATAATAATAATAATAATAATAATAGATTGGCGCTTACACATATGTTAGTGTTTGGCCGAGCTTCTCCTCCGATTTGTGGCGTGCGCCTTGATGTTGTCACACAAAGCGGAGGGACCTACAGTTTTACGCCGACTCCGAACGGCGATTGTATTTTTATGAGAAGCTGCTTTTCATGGCAGAAATACACTCGGAGGTTTGCCATTGCCTGCCGAGGGACGACCGCTGCTAAGAAAAAACCTTTTTTCTATATTTTTTGCGATGTTGCTTTTACCAGGGTTTAAACCCAGGCGTTGCGGAGTGGAAGCGCGCACTGCTTACCACTACTTTGATAGATTTTCTCTTCTAGTTGTGGAGCTAGAACACCAACATTTGTAATTACTCTTGCAACCTTTTCGCAATTTCTAAACTTTCCTTTAACATCAAAACCTTTTTCATGAAGCTTTGTAATGCCTACTAATTATCAAAATTTTCTTTCTGCCAAGTCTGTTCGCATTTCTTCAAGTTCAAGCAATTTTTTTAACTTGGCTTATAGCATCCTTCATCGTCTAGTTGCTACAGTACTAAAGAGAGTACTGTCGTACTTAGAACCAGGAGTGGCATCTGCCAGAAAATCACATGTTCACGTAGCGTATCCTTGAAGCCGTTTTAAGCTATGTAAGTTTAGATGGATAGGTATTTCTCATATTGTCACAATATTTCGAAGGGGAGAAAGAAATCAATTACTCGCACAAGTTTGCTTAAACTCAGAACAAATAGAAAAACAGCGAACTGTTTGTGAAATTACATAAATAGGATGCTGCTAATTAATTTTCTATGTTCTTACTTTCAGTTCACTTACATTAATTTCTAATAGCGGACATTTTGAAGACACCAGGCACTCCAGATTTTCTGTTTTTTTTAGTAACTTTAATCACACTTTACTAAAACACAAAATTATATTTTCAACCCCTTTTCGAAAAGCAATTGAGAGCGACACGCCTTTTAAGTTTTTAGTAAAGGGTGGGACATTAAATAAAATATAACATCTTAAATTTTTTTTCATATTTGCATAAAAACGTAATGTGAAACCCGTGGGTATAAGCTAGTTTACCGTATAATATTTTCTTGCGGGTTTCTGTAATTGGTAACCTTCTCATGGAAATGCCCATATAAACATAGGTACATATGTAAATGCACTGCCGGAGCACAGGCAATTTTTCACAATATATGCAACAATTTTTATTCTAATATTTTTCCGCCAATTTTGTATAAAAATTTCGTTCATAATACAACAGACACAAAATAAAAAATTTAATTCCTAAACATGGTGCAAAACTCGCGAAAATTCAGCAAATTTTAATGGAAATTTTGAAATTTTTAATCACATTTTCTAGAATTTTTTT